TCCAGTCGCTTTTTGTATTGTTTTTTGTTTGTTCTTCAATAACCCTATGCATTTAGGCAACTCAAAAGCGAGTAGGTCTGGTTCTAGTCAATGCAATAAAGAAGTTAGGAAGATCTATTTTAATTTGAACTTTCAGATAGAGCAAGGCCATTTTGGTGTATAATTAAGGCTATACAGATACTATATATGATGTAAAAAAATCAAGTGCCCCTTAAGCAAAAAAACCTATAAACCAGAATTTTCTAATTAGTGCAGTCTCTCCCAGCCTTTTAAGTTTCAGTCTAGGCATGCAACAGAAATTTGAAATACTGACATGTGAAATGACCTCCAAAATATTTGGTTTGCATATAAGGGTACTTTTCTAATTTCAAAAAGGGAAGGATATCAGAAAAGCCTCATTATCACACTGTTTATGTCTTGGTGCTTGTTCTGCTTAAACAGAACTTTTTTTGTGACAAAAAATGGATCAGGGACTTACATTGATATATAATGTCCTAGGAAGACTGCCTCCAGTAAGCAATTTACCTCCAGTATTAGAAAGAAAGATCATGAAGGAACTGCAATTTACTGCAGATCATTCTGTACCTTCTAAGCTCTTTTTTGCTTGCATACTGCCAGGTTACTCTTCTCCCCATAGTATTTGTTCACACATGAAAATGGTACAATATGGTCTGTTCATTCCCTCAATATAATATGTGTATAACATACATCTTAACAAACATAGGAAAGAGTTGTTTCCACTCTCTCTCCTACAGGAAGAATGTTTATGTAGAATGCAAGAGTTTAGTGGAATAGACTCAAAGAAGCCAGAAGTTCAATTGTTAAACCAAGCTTATCTATTAACCCAAAGCTTGATGGTTATGCAGACACCAGAAGAGTCTAAAGTCTGTGGCCAAATTCAGAAAGGTAAGGCTTCAAACCTTAGATATCTCCTTTCATCCTAAACTAGTCTACTTTGTGAATAGCATTTTAGCCCCCTTATCAATCTAAGGGGGAAAAAATTCTTAGCACCACTGACATCACTTCCTGTACTTTTAAGCTCCCTTTAGCTGGTGTGAAAGACTTAGGAGAAAGAGTAGCAAGTGCAGATACATGAAAAATTCACCCATCCTTGTTGCTACCACAAAGTCGAAACATTGAAGAGAAGTTCTCTAGAGACAATAGCACTGCTGACACTCAAAAATTAAACAAACACCCTGCAACCCCCAAAATCCCCATCCACAACCAACACTTCAAAACCAGCAAATCATGTAAAAATAATTTAGCAATGAACTGTAGCATATTAGTTTAATTAGTATATATATTATGAGGTCTCTAATAAAAAGATGATCTTGAAAAACAGCCTCCACGTCAACAAGTCACAGTGGTCCAAGTCTTTAAATACCCACATTAAAAAAAAATTCTTACCTCATGCCACTGTCTACTTGGCTTGTTTTGCTTGTGATTGCATCCCACAGAAATATGGTGCTAGATTTGTCTGTGATTATTGCTAAAGTATCTCCATCCTTATCCCAGTCCATAGCAACACAGTTCCTGAAGAAAGAAAAAAAATCACTAGGAATGTTAAAATGTGTTTGTAAGTGTACAGAAACAGCCAGTACTATGCCACTGAGTGCTATTTTCCCCTTCTCCTCCCCTGCAAACCCAACTGCAGATTTATCTGTAAACTAGTTCTATAGCAACCCCACTCTTATTCAAATCTCACAGATGACAGGGACTGAGAGGAAGGTCATAAAATACACTGCTACCTATGTTTTAGTACTTGAAATACTGCCACTTTGATTTTCAAGAGACACCGAGAGTCCTCTGTAAGGCTGTGGTTTGTTAGAAGCTATTCAGAGTTGGGAATATTTTTCTGATAATACACCTCTGATTCCACACAGCTTTCCTCACTTTGCAGAGTTTTCTGGAGAGAATATGCATTTATCACACATTGTGCAAAACACTGCACAGAGAGCTGGGCCATGGATATTACCAAGCAAAAGGGAGTGACACAGCCACACCATATTATGAATGACTCCTAACCCAAACAGCAAGGTGTGATGGTCAGTGAAATACATGTGAGTCTGGTAAAGACAATGAGAATTGCACCTCTTGGTTTGGTGCAAGCTGGCAACTACCATGAACTACAAAAACTGGATTTCTAGACTTCTTGGGGAACTAAGTGATTCTGGCTCATTTTTACCAATGACACAGGGCTATGTAAGTGACAGTCTGGAAATTTAAGTTATACTCTTGACTTGAGGTTTCAGCCTGAAAGACCAAGGGAGTTTTGCCTTGACTAAGGGGTTTATTTTAATCAAAATTCATCAGGTAGTTGGAAATAAAATAAAAATTTTGCATGATGACTAAGAACAGTTGAAGTGCTAAGAAGAGAGGAACAGTACACAAATGAAACTAACACGAGGCAATAATGGTGCTCAGTAAAAATGTGTTTATTGAGCAAACCAATATGATGACCCAGTGTTGCTGTGGAAACATGATTCTTCACAATGTCACACCATTTTTTCCCTAGAGAGGTTTCCCAGTCCATATCCAGCCTGCTCCTATGGTCTCACTGCCTTTTAAGAAGTTCAATGTATCTCCCAAAGTACATAAGTTTTTAGATTTAATCTGAAAAAATCCAGTTTGTAAACTCCCATACCACTCTCTGATGTGAACCAAAGTGTGATAAGCTTTGAAAAAAGTATCACCTTGACCTAAAGCAACAATGCCAATGTGTACATTTATGCCACTGATGTGAACAGAAGCACAAAACCAAAGAAGTACATTTCCTCAGCAAAGCCATGCTAACAAATTGTTAGAAAATCAACAGTAGCAAGAATGCAAGGATATATTGCACACAACCTCATTATGATCCTTCTTAATGTGATAGGTCTTTTTTTTTACATTTTAATGACATAATTTGTCTTCTCTGCCAGGTATGTTCACCAGAGATAGTATATCATCCTACAAATTTCTAGCATTGTCTAATGCACCTCACCAGAAGAGAAGCATTTTTAAAGAAAACAACAAAGAAAATAATTTAAACCTATCTTGGTACCTACCCTGGCAGGTTGATTTCATTTCTCTTCTGTCCATGACGATCAAAAATTTTCACAGAACGATCACCTCTAGAAAAGATTAATATACAGAATAATTCCCTTTCTTAATCAGTAATTCTGATGGACAAATGCAATGAATAGTTGCAGACTTACCCTATTACAGCAAGAAAATTTCCTAAAGTTTTCTGCCAAGCAAACTGCACAGGAGAACCAGACCAAGCTTTTTCATACAGACTGAATACTTGCTGGGGGAAAAACAAAAGTAGGAAATGATACATCTCAAAATCATAATATATAAGAATACTACAGCTGCCTAGCATGTTAGCAACTGAGTACTGTGGAGATAAACCCTCCCCGCCCCCCAACAATCCAAACCAAACTTCTGCGTGATTCCAATGCACTGAAGTACCAAAATCCCAGATAAACATTCAATAAAATGTTTAAAATCCCAGATAAACTTCAATTTGAGTGGAAAAAACTGAAATTTCTGCTGCTAGGTGTTCGCATACAGAACTGCAACTCTATTAATAATAAACTATTATTTTTGCCTCTTATTTACAAGAATAAAAATTGCATGAGACTCTCCCCTTCTAGTTCAAAGACAACATTGTTAATAGTTCTCTAAATTTAATGGAGAAGTCTGGGACCAGAAAGCATCCTTAGTTTGTAAAGACAGAAGGCTCAACATTCACTCTTTTAGAGATAAGTAACCTTTTTGTTACTCTGAATTGCTGGGTCTTAAAAGCTAAGATCTCAAACCAACACACTATAGAAAGAGATTCTGACTTCCAACAGAGAAAATTTCTGAACATCTTTTTCCTTTCACACCACCCACAGATATTTTTCTGTAAACTGGGTGTAAGATAAAGCCCAAAAGTTTGTTTCACAGCTTGCTATCGTGACTTATATCCCTACATGTCATAAGATAAACAGCAACACCTGCTGTCCACCAAATGCCTGTGAGGTTTCCTCAAGTCTGCCACAGGTTCTTATCCCTTCTTTTTGGGTCAATGTAAACTGAGGCACTCTTCACACTGAATCTGTGTTCTGCTCACAAAACCAGCAAAAACACCACCACCACATGCCACAGTCATAAACGACATCTGACAACGACGTTGGATTTTGAAAAATAATTTAAGGAGGAGGGCTTGTGAGAAAGATGATTTGAGGCATGAAGCACCTCTCCATCTATGAGGAAAGGCTGAGAGAACTGGGATTGCTCAGCCCCGAGAAGCGAAGGCTTTGGCGTGACCTAATTGTGGCCTTCCAGTACCTGAGGAAACACACAGGATAGACAGAGAGCGACTATTATAAGGGCATGCAGCCACAGAGCGAGGGGGAACGGCTTCAAACCGAGAGAGTATGTTTACATTAGTTACTAAGAGGGATTTCCTGCGAAGGTGGAGAGGCACTAGTACAGCTTCCCGCACAAGTTGTGCACACCTCATCCTCGGAAGCGCACGAGGACAGGCTGGATGGAGCCCTGGGCTAGTGAAGATGTGCCTGCCCATCGTAGAGCTGTTTAACTCTATGCCCTTTAAGCTCCCTTCCGCCCGAAGTCCCTCCACGCCAAAGTAAACAACCGCCGGAGTGCAGGCACGCACACCAGGCCCCCTGCCGCTCGCTGGCGGCCCTTCCCGCCGCGCCTCCCTGGCCGCCCAGGCCGCAAGCGGCACGGCCCGCTCGCTCCGCGGGGCGGGAGCCCGCACCCACCTTCATCGCGGCCCCGCGGGCTGCCGGCACCGCGCATGCGCCGCCCGCCCGCCGCGCCGCCGTTACCGCGGAGACGGAGCGGGCCCGGCCCGGCCCCGGCCCCGGCGGGCGGAGCTCGGCGTGAGGCCGCGGCCCCCAGAGCGGGGTGCGGGCAGCGCTCAGAGGAAAAGGAGGGTTTTAGACCGCAGGCATGCAGAACGGGCTTCTAAGCCAGGGAATAAAGGCACACAACCCGCCAGCAAAGCCTCTTGAGATCAGCTGTATTCCAACTGCAAAGCTTCATCACAAAGTGTCACCGATTTCTTTTAAAACAATAAATAGTTCGCCGAGAGCGTTAAAACACGTGTTTGAAATTACAAATGTACAAAGGACTTTGGGTATCGGGCACTTCAAACTTTAAAAAAAAAAAAAACAAACCCAAAACATTCAATGAGTTCACATCTTCCCGTTTTTCACGCGCGGTGATATTCGGGAAACATAAGGGACAAGGCACGTAAAAGCAAATACAAAAAGACTTCTCCCGAGAACATTTAGACCGTTCAAAGCAATTCGGTGTAACAGCAGAGGGCTCGAGAAAGGCAAATTATGAAGTATCTTAAAAAATTAGGTAACTGTTAAATAAGGTAACTAATTTGATAGAGCCCTGCGAGGAACACTTCGCTGTCCTGTAAGATGCTGAACATGCTTCAATGGTGGCAGCTGAGCATCTGGCAGGATTGGGCCCTTTACATTTTTAAATAACCTTACAGGAAAGACAGACAGTTTCTTCATCTTATAAAATTATACTTCTCATAGTAGTGCAAAGCCTCATTTAAAAATGTAATTAGTCTAGATGTAATGGAATGCTTCAAAAATTCCAAAGTGCAAATATTAAACTTATATTGGTTAATTGTTAATCACACTTTAGAATTCTTCCAATAATGCACACAAACAGCAAAGTAAATACAAGAACCAAAGCAGAGGAAAAGGTATGATGTTCTGCATCTTGCATAACAACTTTGAAAATCCAAAAAGTACACTGGATGTCAAAAATATCTGCCAGAAATTATTAAATAGCAGGTTTCTGTTAGCATAAGACAATATTTAAAATAAGGCTTTGGTTAAATAAAAAGTTTGCTAAACTAGGAATGATGCTAAAAAGTGCAAAAGATTCACCAAATACACAACTTCATTTCCAAGGCAGGCATTACACCTGCCATTTACAACAGTTTGCATTGGTTTGCTAGCCTGCCTTGTAGTTACTCAGATACTTATTTGCATTTATTACAGGCAAATTAAATCTATGGGGTCCAATCCTATAACTTGTTTCATCCAGAGACAGACCCAACTATATCAAAGTATATCCATTTATAGCATCATTGCTTTGCATTTAGGGAAATCAAGGCCCCGGAACCATAACATTTGATTATGATACTGAGTTCACTCATTTTCTTAGCATGTCCTAAACAGAAGTCCTCTACTGCCAACGGGCAGGTTGCAGTTGACTTTCTTACAAGTAGAATTCTTGTAACATATGCATAACAAAAGTTTTTTAAAAGTGCTTAATATTGGTCCATAAGAACATCATGTCAGCTTCAGACCAAACACTTCGCTGTGGTAGATGTCCTGCACTTGGTGTTGAGTGGTGCACTTGTAGTTTGCTTGAGGAAAAAGTAATCCTCTGAGTCTAAACAGGAGAATGTCACCTTCCCAGAGAAATTAATTCAGAGTTTTACAGTCACAACACATGCTCCAGCTCTTCCTAAGCACAAAGGTGCAACCTGTAAACAAACAAACAAATCATCAGTGAGATAAATGCAGTCAGTTTTAAGTGATTTCTCCCCTAATTATATGGCTGCAGCAGAATGACAATATCACCCATGCTCTGTTAACATGACTTACAAATTAGTCCAAAATTGGATACAAACACAAAGAAAAGGTAAAGATATTTTATATAACAGAGTGAAGCACTCTGAAAACAATGGCAAGCCCTAATGACATCAAGCAATTCTTAATGATAATTTCAATTATTCAGTATCACAGGAAAAAAAAACCTTTGTTATAGTACAAACTGGATACCTGAGCTAGACAGTCAGATGATTGAGTAAAGGGTGGTAAAATAATGCATTTCTCAGAAACAGAAAATGCCTAAAATTATAGGGGCAACCTCTCCTTTTTACTTCATTATTTGATAAAATCCTGTTAAGAGTTCTTGAAATCAGAATAAAATTACCAGTCTTTATTCTTTAATTGCAAACAGAATTTACTTCTAGCAAGACCCTTTTCTGCTGAGATTCTGCTGGACTTGAATGGAGGGCAGTAGTTTCTAACATTCCCCTTTCCTTCCCCTCTTAACTTGCATAGTAATGCAATGTATGTGAATAGCACACCAAGTGGTACAGAGACTATCCTGAAGACAAAAACAGCTGTTTATGCCAACTCCCCTATTTCTTTTTTCCCCAGGAACAACAGACTTTTATAGAGCTGTCTGTGGCTCTGACAACCTTCACCTAAGAAAATTCCACTGCCTTCTTCTGAGTTGTGTGAAGATGAAGAGGTGGAAGACTGCTGACATAATGAGAGAAGGAAGGTACACAAATATTTCCTAATTCCCCTGGGAGAAGTTTGAAACTATCCTGTAAACTGGGATCGTGGCTTTCAGTGAGACATAGAGGGTCAAGGCTAAGGATACAGAGGTACATACAGATGGTCACCACCTGGACATGTGAGATTCATTTAGATGCAATGATGACAAGCACAGTTTCTCTCTTCTGGTGAGAAGCAGTTTCTGTCCTCTGATACACCTTTTTTTTTTTCCTTTAGCAGGACTAACAATGCCATGGGTTATCATTACCAGTACCAGTGAATGCCACAAGCTCTTATGATCCTCCTTGATGACTTGTGTTTTAAGAGCTTGCAGCAGTATGAAATGGAGGGAAATGGACATCTGAGGTTTTTTTTTTTGTGTTCCAGAGATTTTTATAAACAGCAGTTTAGTTCTCTTTTTAAATTAAGAATTTGGGGCTATTACCAGAATAACATATTCTGGTGGCTCAGGATTCAGTAGCCTAAATACTGGTGTCTGATGCTACTACAGATGAGCTTGGACATTCATCCTGGTCTGCAACTGGACTGCAGGAGGGCCTTGGTGTCCCACAGAGTCTGTGCTGCATCTGCCAGCCTTTTGTGGATATAGATGCTTTAGGGTATCTCAAATGGCATTGGATACCAAAGGACAGTCAGCTCAGCATGTCCTTGTGTGTGCTTTTCCTGCAGAGAGACACATTCCTGGAGCTATACAAAAGTAACCAAGCTCTGAACTGACAGTAATAGTTTCTGGTCATGAACGGTAGAATTATTTTTATTTTAAAATTGCAAAAACAAAAATGGGTAAAGGCTTTCTGGAACCTGCATGCACTCCACATAGCATTCACCTCAGGAAGGGAATATTTATGAAAAAATGACCAAAACCTTGACAAAATAAATGTTGAAAGACACATTAGAGCTAAAACTAATCTACATTTATCATTTATCTTCAGAACAGGAAGTCATGTAAACAGAATCCTTTATGATAGTTTGGGGAATGTGGCAATACATTTTATTAAAAGTAGCTGAAATTGTCAAAGAAAATAGCTATACTCTTGAAAAAGAAAGGAGGGCAGTTTATTGGAAATTAACAACTGTCTGTTCAAGAGAAGTCATCCCAAGATGGTCCACAAAGGAAAAAAAGAGACTCACAAGAGACTAGTAAGAAACTGATTTTTAGAAAAGGAATATTTGAATTTTCCTTGCAAAAGGAGGCACATTTGAAATAGCAGTATTAATAGTAGTGTATGGTCTGATCAGAAACTATACCTGTGTCCATTCATTTGTCTGGGGATCATAAGACTCCACGGTGTTAAGATATGTTTGCCCATCATATCCTCCAACAGCATACAACTTGTCACCAAGAAGACACACTCCCACTGCATCTCTGCTAATGCTCATAGAGGCCACAGCAGTCCACATGTCTGTTTTGGGATCATACCTGAAAGATAATTTGTGTTATGCTCTAAAACTGTTACCAAAATTCAACAACAACAACAAAATGTACTGGAGTTGATGCTGCCAAGGTAGCAGAAAACAGGACAGCACTGATCTGGGTGTCATTTCAAAGGACTCTCCCCTTCAATTCGTCTCCCTTTGACACTGTTTCTTTAGTTATCTGGTAACACAAGTCACTACTAGCCAGATATCTACTTCCTGCTGCTTTCCAGATAGGCATACAGCCATACACAGCTGCTCTTACTACATTTTCTATGTCTAAACATACCATAACACAAACAGTTCTGCTGCTACACCACAGCAGAGCAAGTGCTTGCTTTAAGTATGTCAAAGCACAGCCTGGTAAAATTTGGTTTGGTACTAAGATTACCAATTTCAAAAATATGACCCCCAAAAGTGATTTGAGAAAATTATATGGGAAATGCAAAATCCTTAAGACAATTTACAACACTTTTGAAATCAGAAATATCAGCACAGTAAACGGCAGATGGTTTAATAAAAAAAATTGTGTGGCTCTAGAACATTATCAACATTCTTTACAAGTCAAATTGAGAACTACATAGGAGACTCCACACTATGCTTATGGCAAAGAATATATTTTAATCTGACTAAAAGAGACAATCTTTTTTTAAGAGTGCAGATGCTTTTAGCAGAATGAATGCAATTACAGAGCTCTGAAGGGCTCTAAAAAACTGTACAAAGAAAATAATTATTTGGTAAGATCATACTTGCTAAAAACAAGTTGAAAGACAGTAGTCTTAATTTTTTTGCATGAAGAGCATAGATACAAAGAGCTCTAACAATTTTATTTGCTGTCCTCTAGTCAATGTATTACACAAATGCATGCAAGCATAACTGTAACACGAAAACGCTACTTGAAACACACATGCAAATAGAAGATGGTGATTAGTAAGCTAAATGTAGAAATTACTTTTCCAATTATTTTGTAATTTATAAGCAATTGTATTTATCTGAGAATAGCAATGTCTGTTGCAAAATATATTTTAGTAGTTTAGTGTGGTTATAAAAGCCCGATTTTTAAAATTAAAATTTCTTTATTCTTTAATTTTTTTAAGGAACTAATTCCATGAATTTGATGGTCTTCAATTTCAACTCACTTAAAGAGCAAGGACAAAATGCATTAGAAGATGATTCCTATTTATTAAAGTCATGAGTTCTGTAACTTGGTTTCAGAAAATACTGATGTAGAAAAATACACAGACTTACTGCTTCTCTTGGGTTTCTGATTATCTGTATAGCCCTAAAAATTTGGTATTTGTTGAGAAGTAACTTCCTATCTGCAAACCTTTCTGGGGTCTTTCCAATGCAACTTCCACATGTTAAGGGCTATGGGCCACGCTGTGTTTTCAGGTCTACTAGGACTCTGAAGGTTTGAAAACTACAGCTCTCTTGTGGTGAATTTTTGTGATGTGGGTTTTTGTTGTTGTTGCTGTTTTGGTTTAGTTTGTGGTTTTTTGTTTGTTTGGGTTTTTTTGGGGTTCAGGGTAGAATATATTCCTGGCATGAATAAATTTAGTAAAAGAAAAATATGGGCGATGAGGACTTACTCTAAGTGTTGGGAGGTAACATGAAAGAAGAAAAGTTTTACAGCTGGTGGTGGGAGAGCAGGGAGAGAATTAAAGCATAGTTCAGAAATACCTAAAATGCCAGTGAAGATTTAATACAGTGAATTATGAAGTATGCACTATCTTTTAGAATTATTTTATGTATCACTTGTACTTCTGCAATTTGTGATACAGTCGTTCATTAATCACTTTACAGAAAGATATACCAACCTAGGAATGATTGAATTACATGCCAATTTCCCAGTGCCATTAGGGGGTACAAAAAAGAATTAGATATATAAAGATCCACAAAACCTTACTGTTAATTCCTTTGGAAGTTATTATATGAATAAATTCAGACTTCTTGTGTGAAAGAAGATCTGCTCCATTTTTAAAAGCATTTAGTTCCACGTTGTTTCAGTTATCAAACATAATTCATTCAATGAGATTGTTAAAATAATCTAGATGAATTGCATTAAGAAGAATTTGCTTTAAATATTCTGTCCTGGTAACATTTTGAATCATAGTATGCCTACAGAGCATATTTTTATATGTAGGTTTCCTCTGTTCATGCTAAAAATAACACCTATTTTACTGGGTTTCTTCTTACAGCTCTTTCCATAAATCACCCAATAGACCAGCACTATGAGAATCCCATGGCAGGATTATAGTAATTACAATTATTATTAATCCTCCATCAGGATATTACCTTTCCACGCAGTCTGACAGCCTGGATGTTAAGTTGGATGCTGGAGCATCGTGGCCACCTATTGCATACAAGAACCCATTCCAGGTGGTTACACCTACACCACCTCTTCTTTTTGACATCTGAGCACAGAGAGTCCATTTGTTTGTATGAGGATCAAAACATTCTACTGACTTAAGACAAGAACTTCCATCTCGACCACCAACTGCATAAAGCCTACAAAGTAAAACAAAAAAAAAAAGAAAAAAATAAATGTTGTCTGAAGAAGACAGTTTCTAATGACTGATTCCAAGTTTGTTAAATAGGGAAGTTCAGAAGGAGACTTTCAACTTTCAGTAGACCACTCTGTTGTGAAAACTCAGGCAAGATTTTGCTCCAATATTTTCCCATTGTAACAATCAATGCATAAAAACAATAATTTACAGAAAATGGAATATCTTACACAGCATTTATATTCCAACCTATGCCTATAGCTAACAATTTCAAAATTACGTATGTGACTTGCAAGGTCAGGACGACAAATTCAGTAGTGGATCTGTGCATGCACCATCTCTACTCTGCCTCATCTTAGGCATTCAAATGCTTTTCTGGACCAGGGTTTTAGTTAATGACTGACAGCACTACCTTAAATTCCTCACACCCACTAGGTGGCCCAATTTGCTTAGTCCTAAGAAAAAGGTTTCTAGGATTTCAGTTTTTTGCAAGGGCTGACTGAAATGAATGGGGAAAAAATGCGTTTAGGAGGACTCAATCACAGATGAACCTTTAATCAAAGAACCAAACTTCATAAAGAGCTTATGAACAGAATTTATGAGCAATCTAGGCAGAGTAGCAGACATGCCCAGCACTATTAGTTGGAAAAGTAGGAACACAGAAGCCATTCTAAAAAGGAAACAATGCACCAGAAGTAAAATCCAGTGAGAAATCACCTCAAATGATTTCATAGCCTAAGAATGGCTAAATACTCAGTAAGTCAGTGGCTTTTTTCTGCTGTGTCATCCTGGCAAAATATGGCTTGCACCTCTCTCCACTCCCAAAGCAGGGGCACTTTAGTAAGAATTCCATCTCTGACTGCGTATATGCATACCCAGGTGAAACTCAGCTTAATTAAGGGTGAAGCAAGAGACTGAATTTGTTAATTTAGCTTGAATTGCTAACTTAGCTTGGTTAATCACTGATTAGCTTTAGTATATTTAGTGCTGATGCAGTAAGTACATTCATAATCAGCAGCTCCAAATCTGCATTTCTGTAGCTTCAAAAAAACCACACTGTTTGTGGATCTGTGATTGTTAAAGTATTGAATGCAACCAGACTTACAGCACTGAACTGCTTATAAACAGAAATTAGGCCAGCTGCACCCAGCCCCTGTGATCTCTGGGGATGCTGCTGGAATGCAGGGGGGATTATTTTCTACCAAATTTCATACTCTAATGCAGCAGGTTCTTGGTATAAGAAAGCTCTTGCCATACTGAAGTAAGTCCAGCTGACTGTCACTAGCATGATGAGGGCCCTAGTACACTTGGCATACAGCTGTAAGGCTGTGGAGAGGCTTGCTTGACCCAGCACAGTATCTCTTCTGTGAATGAAAAGACTTGGCTCTTAATGCTACTAACTGGTATCTATCAAGAGAAATTATTAATAGTCATTTAAGATGGTCTTTTAATTACATTAAAATAATGAGATTTTAAATTTGAAAACAGAAATTCCTTCACATACTTTCCATTTAATATTGCTACACCGACGGTGCTCCTGGGAGTTGACATGCTAGCTACAAAGTTCCACTGGCGAGCCTGTGGATCCCATCTTTCTACTGTATTCAGGTAGCTCCAGCCATCGTGTCCTCCTACGGCATACATGGGGCCTTCCAACACAGCTACTCCTAAAATACAGATACAAAAACAATTAAGGTGAATAAAGATCAGATAATTAAGAGGAATAAAGATCAGAATTTCTTAGTGACAGTCCAGCGTGCACCACAAATCTGAAAAGAAAAAAAAAATTAATTTTGGTAGCTGATACTACCAAATACAATCTTCAATATAATGTGAAGAAGAAAGGACATTGAATAAGCAGTTGGTGTCTAAACAAAATTTCCACCACTTCACCTAAACTTTATTTCTCAATATGTTTTTTTGACCAATCCTAACAAGGTAATAAGGTGAATAAAGATCAGATAATTAAGATCAGAATTTCTCAGTGACAGTCCAGTGTGCACCACAAAACCGAAAAGAAAAAAAAAATTAGTTTTGGTAGCTGATACTACCAAATACAGTCTTCAATATAATTTGAAGAAGAAAGGACACTGAATAAGCAGTTGGTGTCTAAACAACATTTCCACCCCCTCCCTAAACTTTATTTCTCATACAAAAAAACTGGTTAGGATTGTTCCATACCTTTAAAAAATATACAGTCAGACTTTACAGAGATGTACATACCAAGACCGTGACGATGAGTGGACATCGGTGGCATTACACTCCAAGTTTTTGATCTAGGGTTGTAGCACTCCACAGTATTCAATGTTTTCAGTCCATCTCTGCCACCAACAACAAACAATTTGTCATCTAAGACTGCAACTCCAAACTGTAATCTTCGTCCATTCATGTTTGCAACTGGAGTCCATGTGTTGGTACGAAGTTCGTATTTTTCAATGCTTGTAGCTCCTGATGACAATATATGCAAGTTGCATATGGAAAAAGAAAAAGTTCTGAAGCATTAGGATAGTTTTTATTTTAGAAATATGCTGATTCCCACAAGACACCATGATATTCTGCAGCATATTCTTAAGTCTGTGTAGACATATAGTCTTTTTTGACTTCCTCAGCAATTACCCGCACCATTACAAAGGACAACTTTCTTGGTGCTTTTCAAGACAAAAACCAGGTTTTGTAACTACTTTGCAGAATCAAGCCTTTAGAAATATAAATATTAGGAATATAAACCAGCCATGTTGAATGCAATCATATATTGAAATCAACTGTTCTGTAATATTTGACAAAAAAAGTTGATGGTATGTGCAAAGAAACTACAAAGAAAAGCTTTAAAAGAACAAATTAAATATTTTCTCTGCTTTAAATTTTCTAACTTACCAGATCCCTTCTAATTACCATTAAAAAGTATGGAATTTTCTATAAAAAATAATCCAAGTAGTTGTGACAGGACTATTTAACAATTAGTGAAAATATTTTTGTTGTTTTGGCTTTTTTTTTAAGCATGTGTAGGTCACCTTTGTGGCCTTTCAGACCTTTTCTTCCTTTTCCAAATTACTGCCCCCTCAAGTAAATAAAGATTAGTTTGTATTCAATTAAACACTTCAGTACTCAGCAATCAGCTATTCCTATGGTAATTTCAAATCAGAACTCTAGATTTTAGAATATTTACAGCAGTCTCAAAGATATATAGGCCTTTATAACCTAATAAACAGCATACACTTTAGATGTTTCATGTTCTGAATCCTTGAATTTTAGATTTAACAGGCTGTAAAAAAATCTACCAAACATTTCTTTTAAAAAGAACCAAAACAGCTCATCAGCTAAACATTACATAAGCCAATACCTTTTGTTGCATCCATTCCTCCAACTGCAAACAAAACGCCCACTGTAGATTTTCTAGGTTTGGTGCGAGGGCTTTGCAACATAGGTCGTCTCTCTGGCAACAGATGGTACTTCATTGCTTCCATAATGAGTTTTTGACATTCAATGTCATCCCTAAAGAGTGCGTTGTTCTCCATGTCTGCCAAAAACTGTGAAAAACAAAGCAAATCAAACAAGCTGTATTGCTATAAACCACAGAAAAATAAAACCATGATTACCAAGATAGTATTTTATACAAACACTTTCACTGCCTGATTTAAAATCTCTGTATTTTCAAAATGGTCATATAAAAAAGGCTAGACAAAAATAAACTTCTAATAAACAGAACATTCATATTTTGAGCAAAACCATCAAATAAATAAATGAATAAATAAATATTTAAAGAGGAAGGCCATATGATCTTAATGGATGATTTAAGCTTAATGGTCCAAAGGAAGGAAACATAATCTCCTTGAGTTCCAGTGCTGTGCAGGAACGTTCAAGAAAATGGAAACAGGTTCTGGGTAAGTAAGTCAGTTCAACCTTATGCTTTTATTCCCAAATGCATCCAATGCAGAGGTCTGTAAAAGCCCTTTCAGCACATGCTGAATATTTTAATATATATTCTGTTCCTCACCCTGACAGTGACCAAGATCACAGTGTATCACTTAATAAAAGCCTTTGTTAAAATTTTTATATCAAACTTGCAAGCAAATTTGGCAACTTTTAAACCTTAAATGTTAATAAAATTAAACTAAAGTCTACTAACAGAAGTTTTTAAGTTCCAAGATTCTGGAGTGGTTTGTACTCCATATTTATCAAACTGCAGGGAAAAAAATTATTAGGTTGAGAGTCACATTATAATTATCAGAAGTCTGGAAACTGGCATTTTTTCTGAGCTGCACAACATGGCATGAATAACAGAGAAAAAAATAAATCAAGTGCCCCACTGGGATTTGGACATTTGTCAGAAAAAGAGAGAGAAAAAAGTGCAGATGCCTCTGAAAAGTCAAAATCCACACACTTTATTAGAATATTAGACATGCAAGTCCACAAACCAGAATGAGATGTCTTTATTGAGCTGTTGACAGCCAACCACTAACAGGTACAAAACTGCTGTGACATCAGTCATCATAAGTACTAAAGGGACTTGCTGGGAAACAGATGTGCACAATATGGTTATATATAATGAAGCTGCCTTGGGGCTGCTAAGTGGCAAATATCACCATGTTTCCAGAAGGAATACAAGTAAGTACAGATGGCTAAACCTGAACACCTCAGTAGCAGGCAAAATAACACAAAATTTGACAGAAAACATAACTAACCATCACAGAGAGAATAAAAAACCTTTTCAAAACACTTCATCAGTGATTTTCAGAAAACTGAGATTTCTGCAGCATTTCTTTAAGTGCCTAAAGTTCTCACTATTTAAAATAGCAAATGAAGTGTTTTCATGTAAATTAGTAGAGGGAACTTAATCTCATTCTTTAATTTCATACCTTCCATTGTTTCTCCTTTTGACCCAAAGGACCACTTGTATCACTTCACAGGGACACTTTGTGATTATAAAATAATAAACTAAAAGCTGCCTTTTAACTGCCAGTGTGCAATGCTATAGAATTGCACACGGTTTAAAAATATATAAAAAACAATTAAATTAATTCCTGTTGTCCTAAATCAGACACTCAGAGCTGCATGCATGAAAAGTAAGGCTCATACACAACATGACCAATTCAGACTTTCAATATATTCTTCTGATGGACAAGCAGCATACAGTATTTAAAGCAACACAATGTGTGAATGTGAGTTCTGCAACAACAAGATGCAACCTACATTTTCTACCGTTTCTAACCCACTCAATCTATAAAGAATTTCTCACAGAACAGAGTCACAGTCTTTGAAAGCAACTTTCTTTCATTTAAAAAGAAATGCAATCTAGTCTGCAGGCTCTTGAAACTAAAACTACTACAATTTTTCCTCACTCAAAGAACTTAAAATGGGCTTACTAAGAGTACATTTTTTTTCAAGTTTTATTATTTACATAGGTCCTTGTACTGAAATGCTTTCAGCATTTAACAGCATTTACAAGTGACATGTTAGCATGAAATCACAGTAACTGCAAATCCGGTAAGGAGAAAGACAGTGCAGACACTCCTTTACTAAGAATTTCTGTCTAAAAGGAATCTGAGCCATCTTCTAATTCAGAAATTTCTACATCATCTTTTTCATTATTTATCAGAGATGTAATATTTGCCACCTTAGAGCTTAAAAGGCAGACAAATATTCATCTTTAGGAAAAAGAAATGTACAGATATTTAGGACACTGCTTGCACTAACCAGAGATGTCTACAAAGAATGCATAAAGCCAATCAATTAAACAAACAATTACTTATAATTTTTTTGCTTCCAGTGTTACAGTTTCACAGTATTTCCTGAAGATTTTTTTTAAAGTGTCTCTGCTTGCAATGGTTTTGGTTTCAGCAAGTTGTTCAATTTTCTAATTTAATTTCTTTCCAATACCTTTAACTTATCAACCATAAAACTAAAAAGCTTTTAATTATGTTATATTTGCTGTCAGATAGCCTAATGTCACATGATCATGAAGAAAAATTTGATTCTGAAAACATTAAGACTGTTTTGGGCACTTAAAATAAGTTTACTCATCTACTAAATGTTTCCATATTAAAAACAAAGCTCTGACACTTTAATGTGTTAAAGAAAGTAATAAATAAAAAGATAACAGAAAAATATTGCTTTAGAAATATAAGTATATATTTGGAGATGAGATGAAAAATAAAAATAAAATAATAAGTAAAATATAATTTTGCTTCTGTATTTCATCTTGCTATTTTCCTAATCAGTTACTGAGTGGATATAATTTGATTTGAGTAAATATTTCTGGGATAAATTCTGTACTTTCAGTTTCTAAAGACATTTCAATTACAGCCAATTAAGTAAAAGGAATACAGCAGGGGTTATTTAGTTATCAGTTAATTAAATGTTCAACAAAAGAATGATTTTCTCTTTGTCAATTGCCTTATTCTGAATTACATTTCTAGAAGAAGTGAATGACAAAGTCAAGGCCACAACTGAGAACATCCTGCTTTTGAATATATAATAATCAGTATGAAAATAAATACTAAAATGCTTGGTAGAGAATCTTACTATCCAGCAAGAGGACATCAGATCAGAAGTCATACACAGAATGTAGTGCATGTGATTTATCACTATGAATTAATTGAACTCCATTTTTCGTGTGTTAATGAATTTTACTTTTTATTCAGGTTCCATAAAAATCCTATTTTCTTCATTTAAGAGAGAATTATCACTCAACAAACAGAAAATCATAAAGCAAAATCCTTTGACTATATAGTAAATACTAAATATTACTAAAGAAGGTCCAGCAAGGAAAGATAAGAAAGGAAAAAACAAATGAAAATAATCAAACCTAGTTTACAAACTTGCTATCAGGAAGTGAATCGCAGAATCACAAAATAAGAGTTGGAAGGAACCCACAAGGTTCATCTCAAGTCCAACTCCCAGCACCCCACACGGCATCCCCAAGAACCACCATGTGTTTGAGAGCATTGTCCAAACACTTCTTGAACTGTCAGGGCTGTGACCACTTCTCTGGGGAGCCTGTTCCAGTGCCCAGCCACCCTCTGGGTGAAGAACCTTCTCCTGATATCAGCCTAAATTTGCACTGATAAAACTTCATGCTCAGTTCCTGTCTCTGGGCACTACAGTGAAGAGATCAGTGTCTGCCTCTCCTCTTCTTTCCCTCAGTTGTAACTGCAATGAGGTGTCCAGGCTGAACACATCAAGTGACCTCAGCCACTCCTTATACTTGAGGGCTTCCCCTCAAGGCCCTTCACCATCTTTGCTGCCCTCCTTTGGACACATTCTAACAGCTTTAGATCCTTCTAACACTGTGGTGCCCAAAACTGCACACAATATTCAAGATGAGGCAGCCCAAGTGCCGAGCAGAGCAGGACAATCCCCTCCCTCCCTTGCCTGGCTGGTGATGCTGTGCCTGATGCCCCCAGGACAAGGGTTGGCCCTCCTGGCTGCCAGGGCACTGCTGAGTCACATTCAATTTTCTGTTGACCAGGACCCCCAGATCCCTTTCCATGTCACTGCTTTCCAGCATCTTATTCCCCAGTCTGTCTGTACATCCAGGGTTGCCCTACGCCATCTGGCACTTTTCCTTGTTAAACTTTGTACAGCTGGTGATTGCTCAGTCCTCTGATCTGTGGATGTCTCTCTGCAGGGCCTCCCTGCCTTTGAGGGCATCAGCATCTCATTCCCTAGTCTGTCTGTACATTCAGGGTTGCCCTACGCCATTTGCAGAGTCTGGCACTTTTCCTTGTTAAACTTTGTACAGCTGGTGATTGCTCAGTCCTCTGATCTGTGGATGTCTCTCTGCAGGGCCTCCCTGCCTTTGAGGGCATCAGTATGAGACTAACAAGAGTAGTCATTCCTGCAGGACCAGGGAAACTAATTCCCAGCTATTTAAACAAACTGAGCCCAAAGCCTCCTCAACATTTTCTGTTAATCTTCTCCAAGAAGGAGAAAAAGTATTGACTGGGAAGAACAACAAGTACGCAGTAAAGGCCTATCAAGAGTTAATAGAAGAAAAATCACTCCAAACAATTAATTCAAATTGCATTTCCTGGCTATTTCTACATGAAGGAAATGTAATGAGCCAAATAAACCATGCAAGTTTCATATAGAAGAAATTTAAAGGACACAGCTTCTAGTGACTAAGATATCCTTGAAAAGCATTTTTATAGGCAAGAAAACCAACTTTTTCTAGAAGCTTCCCCCCCTTCTTGTGTCCTAGGATCAGAAGATGCTGCAGTTGACAGAGACACCAAACTATCATGCCTATATAACATGCTAAGTTCTTACACACAGCTCTAAGAATCCAGATCACTATAAATTGTATGATTTGTCACTATCAATACAATTATACTGTAGACATTATGCCCACTGTAACCATGGTATAAACTAGAGAAGAACTGAACAATTTACTTGTGGAGCAAGCAGAGGCAGTCTAATGTAAGCCAGGAGTTTACTGAGATCTTTCCTTCTCTGTTCCAAATCATGTCGAACCCACGTAAGTAGTGCATTCAGTATAGTTTCTTCATTAGGAATATTCATGTCATCACTTGCTAAAAGTTTAGCAATTTCAGTGGCTGGCAACAACAGAAATTCCTGATTTCTAATTACTTCCATGAAGTTTTCCTGAAAAAGAAAAGTATTTTAATAGAGGCAACATCATACTTTGAAGACATTTTACGGAACACCTGCTGTATCCTCCTCTCTTTTCCCTCCCTTCATGCCATCTCTCAGCTGTCCCACGGAAGTACTGATTAGGGAGGAAGACCAAAAAAAAGTTTAAGTACTGAATTATTTTCAGCCCTGATCATTTCCCCAACTCAATCATTTAATCCCACAGACAGATGTGCTGAAACAACTGAGTGAAGTGTACAGACAGACAAACAGAAATGAGCCATAGGTTGTGGGTGCTATCTTGGCAGTGCAAAGTGAAGAAATACTTTCTGAAGTACAGTTAAAAAGATGCAGTTTGTTCCTGTTGTCAAGCAAAGAGCACAACACGCTACAACAACTGGGCACATGTAACTGTTTTCATTACTGCTAGATGAAAATGTAGCACTAAGTTTTCAGAGAAAATAAACAACACTAACAATTTTACTGTTGATTTAAAATGGATTATTTTAAGTTTATTTTGCCATTTCATAGGTTTTATACAATTGCTCTGATATGACTGGGGAGCAAAACATACAAAGAATCCACAATATTACACATGCCTTATGACACTAACAATATTTATTCTAATAGGACTTAATCTTCTAACTTTCATCTGTCATTTTTGACAACAAATTCTTACTTCCAAATAAGAAATTCATAATATGTAACACATCCTACGCTGATATCTGATTACTTCATAATATGAGGATTTGCAGCATATTCTGTAAGGATTCTGATCAGTTTAGGCTGGAATAGCAGAAGTATGTAGAAACACAATCAGCACCATGAACACACAATCAGCACCATTACACTGAAAAACCTGGATATAACAGAAAAGGTTGATGTTATTTCTATCCCCTCCACCCATATATACCTTTACAAGGCAACAAAGCAAAGTAAGCAAAAGCAGAAAAGTAAAATCACAACATATTCTTGTATTTTGGTAGCTCAAACTGCACCTAAATTCACACTCAAAACTGCCAGTAGCTTCATGATGATAACAGTGTTACAATCAATTTACTAAATGCACTGTGGATTGCTAGATAGCAGCTAATGGGGTGCTGGTTTTGGTCTGCCATCATGGGCACCTCTAAAACACTTCAAGAACAAAATGTGTTAAATTCACAAACACAGAAGTCTAAGTGGGCCTAATATGAAAATCAGCCTTAGTGTCTTGTTAAACGATTTAAAAAGAAAGCCTTGCATGCTAACAAAAAACCCCTGTAGATCAGAAGCAAATACTGGAAAGAAAAAAAGGATTTTTAGGTCAAAAAAGAGGAGAAACTCACAAGAAGAAGCAAGAGATGCACTGCAAAATGGGTCTGAATTTAGTATTTAAAATGGCAACAAAAACAATAGTACAGTTTGGCATGATATATGCAATGGGCATCATGACAACAAAGCAAAAAAGTTAATACTTCTTTTTTATTGCTTGGCCTAATGCTTTCAAAGCTATACCTCAGTACTCCAAAGATACTGACTAATAAAAAAGAAAAACTGAGCTAAGAGGAAAATCTAATTAGGTGTAAATAGTCCATCTTACATGAAAGCCAGATGTACATAAAATGGCTACAAGATTTGTAAGGGGAAAGATCAAAGTTACTCCACTCCATGGGTAATTCTGGAAATCAGGAAAATAACTCAAAATGTTATAGGTGTACATAATTCTGCTTGCAGATAGAATTTGGAAAGAAAACTTCCACATTTAATATCTGAAAATATTTAATAACTGAAAAGCTTTCCTACAACAAAGATCCAATTGTCTACACAAAAAAGTACTTCCAAGTGAGTGCTATAGTAGATTAGAAGTGAGACAGAGTTGTCTTTTCCTCTTTAATTCATTTAACTATTAGTATTGCAAAATAAAAGTTAAATTGAACAAATATATGAATTAAAATCAGTGAAAGGAACTGTACCAATATTCAGAAGCACTACACATGCATTGCTATTTATTTCACTCTGATATTAAATGCCTGGCAGTAAAATTGAATCTGAGAAGTGATCAAAATTATTTCCGCAGTTTAAACACACAGTTCACAGGAATTCATATTCCACTGAGTTCATTTGTTTCCACTGGTTGCTTTTTTATTGGTTCTTTTTCCTAGAGAGTATGCAAGCTGGAGCTGTGCTTTTGGTTTTGCTGAATGAACAGGCAGTGAGCTCCGACAGAGAGAAACACCAACACTTACTACCTTAAATTTTCCAAATTGTTTATCCAGATCACAGGAGGAGGAAGGGGAAAGCACTTGCATGAAAAGTTCTTTTGTCTCTGGAGGCAACAACAAGCTGATCTTGCGTAAGTCAATCATGGATCCTCTTTGGAAAGCTTTTTTCCAACTGGATTTCATCACTTCAACAGCTTTTATATGTAAAAAGCCTGATTTTCCTTCTTGTTGCTTGCAGACAGACCATTTCTTTTGGATGGGAACAAGTTCAATTTCCTCTTGCTCCCATTCTATTTTTAAAGCAAGAGACTCCTTTTGAGCAGAGTATCAAAGCATTCTACTGGGAATACAGGCACTCTTTGTCCTATGTCTGGTTTTTTTTATAACCAGAACTTGAAAATTCCTCTTCCTTTACAGACAGAGATTCTGAAGACAAAAAGAAGGAGCCAGTGTATCTCCTAGCATTCTTAACCTCCTCATTAGCCTTTTCTTTCCTTCTTCTTATGGGAACTCTCTGTGGAAGAACAGGATAATTCAGAGAACAAATGGTCTGCAGTTTCAATCCCTTGCTTTCTGGTCCTGAAAGTAAAAAGAATTTCCCAACCCCAAAATTAGCTCCTCAAAGAGCTTGGAAACTTCATCAAATAAGTAGCCTGAGCTTATGTATTAATCAAGATAGGGACATGCAGTCCTCATGCTCAGTGCTGGGTACTGCTCATTCACATCATAACCACGAATTCATTCTTCAGCAACTGCAGAGTGATTAATACTGAGACTCTTAACCACAGATCTGCCTTGGACTTGGTACAGAACAAAAAAATATTAGGAGCACATACAAAATGCCATGATGTGTATTTCTAAATGATACTTAATCCCTACAGTGGGATGCAGTGAGGTGGTTAGTCTCCCTGCACACTGTGTCAGAAGGATGAAAACCTTGGAGAGTATCAGACATCTGCAGGTTGAGAGGGACTGAGGCTGCCCAACAGGCAGCTCTAACGATGGGGCTCTGTTTAAAATCTGGACTTGGGCAACCAAAAAGCAAGTTTGACTCACAGGATCTGAATGACAGCAATCAGGATCAAAATGTTATTTTGTCTGCTGACTGCTTCAGTCCACTGGTCAACTAAGTATGAATTCACAAAGAACTGAGCTAATTGACTTCCTGGTAAACTACTAATAGTCAAACAGCTGTCAGATACCACCTTCTTTACTCTACTCAGATTTGACTGATGTGCTAAACAATCAACCAACCTAATACTTTCACTGTGTGCAGGGCTTGTTTAGAGTACAGCTATTGTAGCTTGACTCCTCGTTGCACTGTTTCTGGATTCCAAAACAGACTGAGCATCATGCAGAAATCTATTCAATCTTGACAAGGCAGTACTGATCTATTGTGCTAGGCAGGGCTGAGGGAACTTGAAAGACAAAAATATCTTGGGTTTTCACATGTGAAAAGGAAGTGAATGAGTATTGCAAGTCAGCTGATTACTGAGCAGGATATTTTGGACTGCAATTTCAGGTGCAAGAATATAAAATCCTTGTTTTAGGCAATACCACAACTTTTGGTTCTGGCCCTTTATGGACAGAAGACACTTAAATTTCTCCTCTCTTCATGCGCCCCACTAACAAAAGAAAAAACTGTCCTGACTATGGCAAGAAAAAAAAGACAAATTATCCCTCTTTAATTTTTTCTTCCAAATCCTAACTCCATGATTTTTTGTTACCCAACTACTGCCTTACAGGAGAAAGCAGGTCTAAGTGTGCCACACCTTTTCTGCTGCAAAACTACCTAGTTTCTGTGCTTGGACCCAATCTATTACTCTGTTATTTTAAGTTTTTCTTTTTATACCTCCATTGGCTTGTTCAGAAATCACAAATTCCAAAACTAACTTTATCTGAATCTTGTAATACTATCACTGCTCACATACTTTCTGAAGACTTCTGATGAAAATCAAAATGACTTTTCACTCTGCTTTAAGAATGTATAGCTGATCAACAATGATTACAGAGGGACTAACTCAGGCACCATCACACAAAGTTTTGAATATCTGATCTTTCTTTTTTAATTGTAAATCATAAAGTTAAAATCTGGCTGCTGAAGAAGCTACTGACACTTACCCAAGAACACCTCACTAGTCACCACAGATAGTTCATATTCTGGAAATAACAGAGCCTAGCTTTTCCTCATCTCAAAGTATTAACTTCCCTTTTGTTTACTTTTTTTGTGGAAAATGATCTATTGGTTTTCATTCAAGGTACACTATCAACTGTTTCAAACAAACAAGATGTCAAAAAGGGGTGTTTGTTGTGACTTCGAAGACAGCAATAAAAATGCGCAGAAGGCATTTTGTGCAAAAATGCCATTACACATTTGTTAAAGCAAACAGATACAATACTGGCCAGTCCAATAAAATTCCTAAGTTTATAACTGTATGCCCCAAATACTATATATAAACTACAGCAAAACAGGGTAACCTTTGCTCAAAAGATATCTTTACTCAGATACATTTCATGACTCTATCAACTCTGTTTTAGAACTGTGATGTGTAAAAATCAGAGTTGCTCTTCATACAGCATTAAATCCACTATGAATCGCTTCAGTTCATGTTTCACTTCATGTATATTGAGGGTTTTTCAAGCTTAAGTTTGTAATGCCAATAATCGACCAGTTTTGATAAACTGTTCCCTTCTGTCAAAACAATTTATCAACTGTCAACACAGTAAGCAATGAAGTAATGCAACACTTCAGTCCTTTTAGCATAACATACGTCTGTAATATGAAGAAATACAACATCCAAATCCTTCTTCTTCTCTTTTTTTTAATCACTGATGCTTCCAATGATTAACGTACTTTACTCAGACAGAAGAACCCTAAGACAGACCCAATGGGATAACTCACTGATTCATCCTCCAGTTTAAACAAATGCTCATTTCACCTGAATTTCAAACTTCATGCAAAAATGTATTTTCATGAAGCAGGTAAGATGATTACAAACTTATTACATGTGTCATAAAAAACCTTTAAAACAGAGAAGTTGTTTTACTTGTAAAAATATTAAATGGCAATCAGGGTTTCTTTTCTGTCAAAGAAAAACTCATAGAAAATAACGTGTAAATTAAAATTTAAGTATTTTATATTATTCAGTAACTTCTACTACAAGTATTTTAAAAGAACCAGAACTATAAACTGTACTCAGTATAATCCCACACTGTCCTATGAAGCCCAATGCAGCATAAAAATAATTCCCTGTTTTAACAAAGAGAATTTTGCCAGCTATTACAGGTGTACTTAACCCTTACATTATAATACTTCCTAATGGAAAGAGCATCAAGTACCTAGCACTTACTAGTGTTGAACATTTTCTTTTCTCAAACATCTTTTAAACAAATGAAATTATTTGGGGATTTATTTTAATAGAAGATTCAATTAGACTAGACATTTCTATGCAGTTTCCATAGCAACATTCATTTCAAAATAAAGAAGCTTCTTCTCTATTACTCATTATTACTAAAATTCAATTTAATGTCTCTGTTGGAACTAAACAACATTAAAAGAGGCCTTGGGAAAAATTCATCTAGCACAACTAATTAGTTTTGAAAATGGCTTTTTAAAATCCACCTAATTTGAATTTCGTTCACAGCAAAACCTTAAAAGCAACAACTTTGCCACTGAAATAAACAACAGCCAAAAGGCACAGAACTATTTTCCTTTGGTCTGAACAAAAGATATGCACTGCAAAAGAACGGCTCTTAGAAAGTTCACAGCCCCTATTTTCCCTAAGTCATGAACTGCCAGTCAGAATACTAAGACTGGAATGCCAACATTCCCCTTTAAGGATGCATTAGTCTGATAATTCTTACTGTTCTGATATTGGCAGTTCACTTATAAAGGACATGACTATAGCCTAGACCAGACACATCTCTGAAAAAGAACAAGTAGATCAGAGGAGAGAGCTTCTCTTTTCACATATTTTTTCTATCACTGGTCTCACTTATACTCACTTAATACTCTTCAAAGGCATAGGCCACATTTACTTTACTGTTTCATTGCACATTCTACCAAACTGCAGTGCACCCTATTTATTGATCTGCCTCACTAAATTTGTGTGTCTATTAAATATCTGAGAGATCCATTCACTGCAGAAGAACATTGTCTTGTATATGGAAAAAAACCCCTATCTTAAACTGCCATACATACTAAATTAATTTAAGCCAAGAAGAAGTAATTTTACAAAAAATGGTTTTAAACCAGCAAAACCTAAGGCAGCAAGAGGAAGAGCCATGGATTTCTAATACTAATTACAAGACATAATTACAACTTTTGGATCTAAGCCAGTAACTTAATGGCAAGGTAATGCCACACAAGCAAATTAAGTTCTATCTTCATTCCCACATCTCTTATGTAGTATCTACATGCCCTCAGTCAGATCCCAAGAGCTTACTTAGTCAAAATTTCATCAACAAGCGAGCAAAATGCCTCACAAAACTGCAAAGAGCAGAAGAACTGACTTGCTTCAGAGATACTTCTTCTGTCTTCTTCTGATAACTTTACTAAAATAAACTTATGAGAAGAAAAAAAAGAACATTTTGTATTAAAATAAAAGGGTGACTGTTAAGCAGATGAAGTTTACTTAAGTTGGTAGGTCTGAATTTCTATAAGTTAACTCAAAAATATAATTGGCAAGTTTGTATTTAGTCACATATTACCTAGCCTAAGATTAAATTCTTTGATGGCTGACATCCCATTGCTAAATTATTAAGGATAGTGCAGAATCTATATTGCTGAATGTCCACATTCATACCCCAAGTATAACTTAGAACTTGATTACTCCAGTTTGTTACAAAAAAGGAATTCTACACCTCCATTTAGTAATGTGTTATTTTGGAATAGGTGATGGCAGCTTCCCCACTGTGAAGTCTGTAGTTTTTGACTGTCAGAAAGAAGAACAGGCTTTTGAAATATGTTATTAAATGCATACCCCACAATTCTATTTCTGTTACAGGGCATTTATGCTTGTGTATTTCCTTCCAACTCCAAACCAGCAACTCTGCAGCTATTTTGTCATTTTTCATCATGGGAACATATTCTTGTTTGAAAACTATGAAGGCTTTTCGGGGAAAAAACATTAGTACTATATTTAGGAAAACATTCTGTATTTTCCTTACTAAATAAAGCAGATGATACTTAATGTAACAACATACCATGGTGTAATTGTGAGCCACCTTGTGCAAGTCAGTGCAACCCTGCGCATCAGCAAAAGATCGGATTCCAAGGCAATTGGACGGGTGAAGCTGCTTCATTAGGAATTTACAGCATGCTTCTACAACCTGAGAGAGCTGAAGAAGGCAAGCTGTAGACAACAGGCACTCAATGTTGTCTTCTTTTAATTCAAGGCGACCTAGTAACATCAAAAAGAAAATCACATTAGTTTGCTCTTATAATCTTAAAAATTCCCAAAAATCCCAAGGCAACAGAATTATTTACCGATTATATGACAGAATAGAAGGCTTAGTAAACATCACCCTCAGCATTAGGCAACTAATAGTTTTCAAAATTAGTATCTATAATGATGTAAGGAAAGAGAATCCTAATGACATTCCTTTTTTTGTCAGTCCTGATATATTTAATAGATTCACATAATTTGTTAACTATTGAATGGAGTATTATCAGAGAAACTTTATCCTATCAGGCTGTCTCAGGTAACAGCAGAGAGACCCAACTGCTGTCTACAGCTTTCTCACCAGGGAAGGGGAGGGGAAGGCACTCATCTCTTCTCTCTGCTGACTGGTGACAGGACCCGAAAGAATGCCCTGAAGGGGGTTAGGAAAAGGTTCCTTTTCCATTAGGAAAAGATTCTTCCCCCAGAGGGAAGAATCTTTGGTTGGGCAGTGGAAGAGGCTCCCCAGGGAAGCGCTCACAGCACCAAGCCTGACAGAGCTCAAGAAGCATTTGAAAAACACTCTGGGACACATGGTGTGATTGCTGGGGTGTTCTGAGCAGGGACAGGAGTTAGACTTTGAGAATCCTTGTAGGTTGCTTACAAATCAGGATATTTTATGATTGATTTTTATTTATTTATAAGAATTTAAATAATGTGAATGATTTGTAAAGAGCATTTGAAATCTAGTAATGGAATACAATGCTCAAATGAGGACAATTCACTAGATGAAATTCCCATTTCCACTTCAATTACCTGTATATGCATATTGAACCAGAGCCCACAATGCCTTTGGCTCCACACCTTCCATCTTGATTTCTTCCTGTCTTGCCTCCCTTACATCATTAGTGAACATTGCTGCAAAGTAGTCCGAAACAGAGGAGAGAACCAATCTGAGTACGACATGCAGCACAAAAGGAGAGAAACAGAAGAAAAGAAAAAACCTTAGTCAACCTGATGTTTGTTAATTTATGATTCATTACTTTGCCCTTTGAAGAAACACTGTAGTGAGAAAAACATTTAAAATTGACGAAGTGCTCCATGCTCTAGTTTCTCTCTATGAATAATGAAGTACTGATACTAAACCTACATTTGCTACTGATCTAAACTAATTACCCTTTCAAAGCTCAATGACTTTTAATAGCCAACACAGACATAAACACCTCCAAATCCACATAAATTGGAAATTAAGTATAAATATACATTGTTAAAATAAAATTGAATTGATTGTTATTTATATTATGTTAGATGCTTTTTTTAAATGTGGAAGAATGATTTACCAGTCCTTTTCAAAGTGCTTTAAAATGCTTTTACTCTTGGTGCACACATATACATTCAATTACTTATACTGATAACAAAACTTGTCACAGTAAATGTGGAGATGATACAGAGTAATCTCTTTTTTGGGTATCTATTTAGCCTTTTGTAATAATCCTGACTCTTTTACTATGTAAATAAATATGTTAGTGCACAACAGACATTTCTTTGGCTTATTGAGAGTAAAACACTCATTACAAATAATAATGCCACTCTGTAAAATGTGGAAGAATTTCGATGTGTTCAGAGATTGGGGTAAAAGAGAAAATTATATGAGGCAGGAATATGAAACATACCATAACTATTCAGGAGGAATAAGAGACCACCAGGAATGGCCTTGTGGCTTAGATCAATTTTTGTGCTGTAGCAGTTCACTGTTGCTTTGCCCACAGGGATTTCAATACAAATACATGTGGTATACACATGGATCTATACAAACAGCAAGCCCAAGAACCCAGCAAATACACTAAACAGTCCATATGCATTCAATTAATGTAATACTTCAGGCAGTTTATGCCATGCTGAATCATTACACTGGTGTATTAAAAGGGCAGAGATCAAGAACCACAAAACAGCCAAACTAAATGAAAGGTGAGCACCAGTGCTTAGGGGAGAATTTACAGGTACGTATACAAAGTAGTGAAATACAAGGAGCAGCCTCTTAGTTAATTAACTGCAAAGTAATAAAATTTTGACTAATTAATCTCACAATATATTTTTCTTGTGAACTTTCTGGTCATTGACCATTTGGTCAGGCTTACAGAAAAAAAGGGTAATTTTTTTTCTAGCTGCTGAGGCAACAGAGTAGCGTTACAATTGCATGGAGAAAAGACTAATTTTATTTTAGCACCTTGTATGATTGAAGTTTTGTCAAAAAACCTCAAAGGTCTGTTTTTTTATAGAAAAATTAAATTCTCTTATTGAAATGTGAGAATTATTCTGTAGCTGGCTAGCTAAGAAAAATTATAACTTTCTGCCAAGGTACATCCTGGGCATCACTTCTAGGCATTTTAACCTCAGGTTTAATGAAATCTGCATTTAAATCAAAATACTGGTTCCCAGAGATCTATAGAAGTGGAGTAAATTAGAGAGTGCATTCATGTAAGTATCAAGGGAGAATTTCTGCAACTGCTTTTGATGCTAGAATGAGATTACAAGACCAGATTTCTATGTACAAAATAGGGGTTCTCGCTGGAAGGGAAAGTGGTTTGAATAACCCAATTATCTCTGCAGGTCCAATTCAGAATTTAAAAAGGCAAAACAACCAACTTAACATATTCATATCTGACTGTTCTGACTTGGAACTTCTACACAGAACAGAGCTTGAAAAAGACAGGTCTTCGGCAACGGCAAATGGAATTTAATGCATAGTCATATCACAGTTTTGGGGCTGTTTTTTCCTTTTTTTCTCCCTCCAGCAGTGCAGCTGGACTAGGTAGCTGCACTATTATTTAGAACACTGGACTGTATACATTTTAGAAACAACTGCTGATGAAATGCCAAATAATAACACGAGGGTCCCAATGCCTTCTATCAGAGGTTTGATACCAGCAAATTTCTCCCTGTAATTTCCAGACTCAAGAGTCCTCCAAAGGAAATTAACAAAAATGTAATCCATTTACTATTTTTGCAAACGTGTTCAGATCCATGAGGAGGTATGCATGCTTCACAGTGGTAAGTGCTTTCCAGAGGGTGACTTCCATATGCTGACAGAGGATGTGAAGTCCACAAGTAGTTTAATACAGCTAATTTGAAAAAGCACAAATTATCCTGAGAGCAGTTATGCAATGATTTCACAAAGAAAAGCCTCAGAAGAAGTATCCACACTTTTCTCTTAATTCAACTCATTTAGAAAAAAAAGTTATTTCAAAGAAAGAAATGGGATTAAAATATACAGTGACAATGCATCAAGGTGACACTGAGCTAGGATAAAAGAAAACCAAGGCAGACTTTCAGCCAACTGGCCTTTTCTTTTTCCCACTAGTCAATAAAAATCAATTACTGCTATACGCATGTGATTTGATATTCACTTGTCACTAAATATTGACAAAATTGTGTTTCAGTACATTTTTCTGCTCCTACAGAAGGTTCCAAGATTAATAGATTTTGAAGAGTTTTCCACTGAGAGCCAGTAAAATATGTAAAACACTTTAAAACCCATACTTGTTGGAACTGCCACAAGCTGCATCATCTAGATAGCTTTCTAGGTCACCAAGGCAATTACTGTGTAAAATGATGACAGCTACCAAACCTGGCAATGTACAGGTTTAGCATCTCCAAACCCGTCTCACCTGACAGGACGAAGTGACGCTGCTTAAGATCTGAAAGATAAAAGGGACTCTTCCCTAGGCAGCTCCTTGTTTGTGGCTGTAACAGCTGAAAACTGTCCTTGGAAACTCACTATCAGCATTCCCTGAAGTTGTAAGGTGCTATTGAAGAATTCAGGCTCTTTCAAACAAGCTTCCTAAACCCTAGAGTACACAAGGTTCCATTTGCCTTCTTAAGTCCCACCTCTTTTGTATTTTCATCTTTCACTGTCAATAGAAAGACAGACAATGGCTCTGCCCAGACTGCTGATTAAAGGCTGTGGCAGGCTTTAAATGCCCTCTGGGTAGGAATTTACACACATTTCCCTTTTCTTACATGAATGTTCTAATCAGTGGGTTATTACTAAAGAAAACAAGCTTTTATTTTGGATATAGCAGTTAGCTGAATGTAATAAATACAAACATAATAAATGGTAGACATCTGAAACTGCAGTGGACACAAAATAAACATGCTATGAAAAACTTAATTAAATTAATGAAATCAAAGTATCCAAAATTTCTTTATGGAACTGCAAGCTGAAGGGGTGGGAATATAATACATTTCTTCCTAGTGGAGAATGGCCTCAATTTCCTACTTGCTTCTTGACCTTGTAAATGAGATTTTAGCTATAATTTCAGCACAGATAAAGAAGATAAACACTTTTGGAACAATAGAGAATTCCATATTCAGAAAAATCATGACTATATGTGATGCTTTTATTTGTAGTAGACTCACAACCTGAATTCTTTGAATAGATACAAAGCCTCTCAGAATTTCACAGTAATGTATTACCTGTGATTATTACCAAGGCAGACACCAAACTCATGTCTGTTTTCTCTAAAAACATACATCATGCACCTCACAACACTCAATAAAAGTAGAAACTGATAATTTAAAAAATACAGGAGTTATTAAAAATACCACATTCAAAACTGAAAATCTGAATACTCCTCTCTATATATGAGTATGATTAATATTAATAATGAAGAATGTTTTTTTCTTACCAGCTCTATGTAACCACATATTATGAAAAACTCTTATCTTCCTTATGAAAAAATAAAGGAAAACAAAGATGTCCAGTGTAAGTGAACTTTCTATTTTCTTACCCATCTTAGAATTCCAAGGCATTAGGCTAAGATGCCTAAGAGGCTATTTAATACATATTCTGTTGCTTATTAAGCCTTGAGACAAAATAATCACTGGTTTTATGAAATGCACTTACTGATCCAGCCTGCAGTCAATACTAAAAAAGTCAGAACTTGTATGGAGGCAGCAAAAAATACTACAGAAGTTTTTTCTTATAACACTGGCTACTACAATTTCCATAAAATTTAAATGAAATTTAAGAATTCCGTATTTATCTTTCCCACTATGAAAAAAATTCAGTTTTCAGTGAGATACTTTGGATCTACTGAGATTAAGACTGCAGTTATTGCTGTATGTTTCTCTGTGAAAATAAAACAATTAAAGAACTTATGCAAAAGGCAAACCTTCTTTGTAAGTTCTCCAACATTATAAAGTGAACAAGAGAGAATCATAAACCTCCCACTTCCTGCTACAAGCACAAAGTGTGCTTCTTTGGCTTTAAATTTCATACATATTTAACACAGAAAATACTAACTACAGCAAAGTGTTTCTCCTCAGAAGAGAAGTCCAGAGCAGTAGTAGTACATGCCACATGCACTACAGAAATAGATACAGCAGTACAAACTGGAGAAGTCAGTTCTCTGAAGAAATAAGAAACAAGTATGAACCACACAAATAGATACAGTAGTACAAACTGGAGACGAAGTCAGTTCTCTGAAGAAATAAGAAACAAGTATGAACCACATTAAAGGACTTTTTAGCCTGTTGTCTATGAGTTTATTTCACTGCAAATAGAATCTTCCAGTCCTTAAAAGATATTCACAGCTGCACCCTTTCTACACATTTTTAACTATTACGTAAGCCATGGTCCAAACACATATTGCATAAGGAAGTAACAATTTCCTTATTATAATCACTATTTTTTCCTGTTTACACCACTCTAAATTTTTTTGACCCTAAATTACTTGAGCGTGTGCCCAATAGGGGTGTGTCTATTCCATGTTTTCATCTGATTCATTCTTTTCACAGGGACAACACACTTCAGTAACTAATTTGAACATTTCATAAAATGAAGTCTCCGAGAGCAACAGCAAGCTATGGTTTAAAAGCCTCCCTGATTCTCAGGTCAGTTCCCATCCCCATGCTGTCATTCCCTCAGCTGAGTCAGCACAAGTGTGGACAATATCCAAATAAAAGCAGAAATCTGGCTTTTGAGGGAAAGTACCAACTCCAAACCAGCAACATCTTCCCATCTTTTTATTACTATTACAGCATTGAGCTGCAGTTTCACTGTGTGAGTAGGAATCAGTAATGGAAAACAAGAATGCTTTAGGATGCTATTTCTGTTGTATACCTCAACTTAGGAAACCACAGCTTACTTATACCTAGGTTCCTATTAAAATTACAAATTCTGTGTATTAAATACCATAATGTGCTTCAGCTACACATGCCTGTGATTTGCAATCTTTGGTATTTTCCTAGATTTTAAGAAGCATGCATATGATCTGTTGATTACGAAGATGACAGAGAGGGTAATGATTGAACTAATTGAGACCTCTAATACTGGCAGTGTTCAGAATTCTCCTATCAAAGGACTCTTCTTACTACAGGAGCAAAAAACCTTTATGTGAACAGAAGACTGTCTTTATTGTAAACTGTGACTCCAATAGCATAATTGCTAGTACAAAGAAAAAAATTAAACAAAATTAAATAGAAGAAAAAAATGTACATCTTTGTACGGTAAAGAAACTACTACTACTACTTATAATATTCTGGGAGTGTAATTGGGACTTCTGGGGGTTTATTATGCAAATATCATAAGTATACTTAGAAACAAAAAGAACCTGAACTTTTTTATTCTGTATTATATAGAACAGAAAAATTAACATTTTGTTTCCAAATAAATGTTAAAAAACATATACGTGTTTAAAAGTATTCTGAATTGTTTAGGATGTTCTGACTTTTTTTTAACAAAACATGGCCCACACTTTGAAGGTGCATTTGTAAATAATTATGAAGTTATTTCAAATTATAATAAACTTACCTGTGAGCTGGAATTCTACGATCACCAGCAACTAACACCACATCACACAGCTGATTGTGTCTCAGATAATTCTCCATCTTTTTAAAAGTTTGTTCAGCATGGTTGAGAGCCTGAAAAAATTCATCTGAGGTACAGGGCTCCATTGTTTGACAAGATGATAAGGTGTGACTGCTGTTGGAGGTTCTGCTGAAGATAATAACAGAAATCTCAGTTCACACAATATTCAGATGAAATTTTATCTACAAAGGATAAAATAAAAATCACATGTGATTTTAAAGTTGACATGCATGATTTGTTTTAATATATATTCCTTTGCTATTTTATTTTTCTTCATATTTTCCTTCTCCCTCCAAAACAAACTAGACTCTTGTGGAAAATGTATAATCATTTCATGTTGTACTCTTCAGTTGAGTGAGACACAGAGATCAGCCCAGCAATCGTATTTGTAGTGCTGTCAGATGGTTAAGGAACAACATCCACCAAGTCCATGCAAAGTGAAAAAGTAATGGAAGGATGGCAATAAGGAACTAAACCCCTCCCTGCCACTTATGTTTCACACTTAATCTAAGGTGGCCAGAACAAAACTCAGCTAGTAAAAGCATATGGGCTTGCAGGGGAAAAAAACCCATAAACACATTGATACACCACCACTCCTATTGCACTCCTTGTGTCTGATATGAGATCTAGCACACAGAAGTCAACAGAAGTGAAAAGCAAAGGTAGATGGGGAGAAAAATTATTCCCATCTGTACACACAAACACAGAAGATTGGGAAAAAACAGGAATGGAGAAAATGTAAAAGGAATGCATGGCCCTAGGAGATAAAGGAAATGAATCCTAATGATGTACATTGTGGAAAGCATTATTTTCTTTCTCACAGTTCTTTAACTGACAACTGCTTAGTTTTTAACAATGCATGCAACTTATAAAATACTCTGGATCTACCATAACATTTGTAAGGATATGGTTTTGCAATATCTGCATCCCGACCCCTGCTTCCACAAAGATGTAATGAACTGAGCAGCATGCCTAGGGGGAAATCCACCACAAAAGTTATCTCACTCCTTGGTGTAGGATACTAATTTCAAGACAGAGCTCCTCAAAACCAAAGTCTAAATTCCCAGCAGAAGATTTTCTGTAAAGCAGAACTTTGTGGTTTGGTCTTGGGTTTTATCATATGTTTCGGTTTTGGGGGTTTTTTGCATGTACCCAGACAGCTAAAAAAGCCAAGCAGTTTGGTATTTAATTCAGAGCTAAATCTAATAATGGATCAGAAATTAGATACCTGCCTACTGATTTCCCTTGGGGGACTTTATGTTAAATATTCTCGCTGCAGCTGTGGTTAGCCATTTATTTATGTGTCAACTTCCTCCCGGTTCCCCGTAGCCCAGGAGTCACTCGTTCTGCTCCACCACCGGCCCTCTAACAGGCTGGAACAACTATTCTTTGTGGCCATTTTGGAAACTGAATCGGAGCTCATACAAAGATGTAACCATGTAACTACGGAAAACATTATATTGGCCAGCTGGGTGGCAATCTAAAGGGAATGAGCAAAAAGTACTCAGTGAAAGCAACTCTTTAACCAGCAGCCCTGAAAAACAAAACCAAAAGTGGAATGGGTAGGTTGATGGTCGCACAAATACTTAGGGAATCATTCTGTATCTCCGTATCACCATTTAGCACATTCTCAATAGGGTTAGTATGTTGTGTTTTTTTCTGGTTTGTTTGGTTGTCTGTTTGAACTATATATTAACCCATATTCCTCAAAGTAACTCCATTAATGACATTTAAAAAAAAATTACATGCTATTACATGTTAGAATTTTATTTACATTACAACCTTACAAAGTGTTTTGCAGATAGGAAGAAACCACAAAGGAAAAAGCTTTCCAAGCCAGCACTTGCTGGATCACAACTTCACTGGAGCTATTGCCAGCTTCAAAACTGCACGTTTTCCACACAGAACTCAGTCATCACTCTCATCAAATAAGGAAAAATAATTGCTATGGTGTCTGTTTACCAGTATCCACAATAAAACATATTCAGGACTCAACGGAGTCAATCCTAGTTCTTCCTCGCATCAAAAGATGCTCAATCCCATACCTGTCTTCTAGCTAGTAACTTACAAACCATTTTCCATAATGAAGGAACAGGAGATAGAAAGACTAAGGTTCAGTGGTCCATAAAGAGAACCTGAAAGAGACTTTCTCAAAAAACTTCAGCTGTATTGTCACACACAATGATATCATCAATATAGCTTCACAGTGATGCAGTGCAGTCTGGATCAGTTCATAGTCATCAGTCCATCAGTCCAATCACAGTATTTGCAAAAATAAAAAAATAAAAAAAAAAGGAAAAAGAATGCTTCAAAAGCTATTTGTGTCTGTTACCCTGTGACTGAATATGAAAAATTTAAATGCCCCTCCTTCCACAAACTGTTTTATGAATATTTTTCCAGTTACATTTGCTACAGCAATGACAACCTGGGAGAATTCCTGTAGAACTTACACCCTCAAAGGTCAGTGAGACTGAGGTGAAAAAAAGACATATCAAAGGATTCTGTAGCTCGAAAACTCAGGGTGGGGAGGCAGACTTATATTGGAAGTTACAACATACTAACTGCAAGTCTGATCATACAGAGCAATACTGCAGAGCTGCTAGCACATGGTACATTCAGACTTTGTCTTTAAATAATTACGGGCATTTTACTAAACTGTTCAAGGTCAGCACACAGCTGATGAATTCCGGAATCCTGTTTGTATTTAATGTTCAAATATAAATATACATCCTATATAATATTTTAATACATTTCCCTACTTCAATCTACAGTAAAGTAATTCCAGTATTTTAGTGCACACATGGATGAAATTAACCAGATACAACACTCTGCACACTAGGTATGCTCCAGGTATTTTTAGCTTTATCTCCACCATGCCATCTCTACCAGGTCTGTAGATTGCTCCTAAAGCACCACCAAAAAAGTTAAGAAAAACAAATCTAATGCTAATAGGCTTACACTTTCTATACAAGGGTCTGCAGAGCTGTTGGTGAATTCTTAAAAGTGTATGAATCCAAAAGGATATCATTGCCTCAGGGATGCAGAATAGTTAACAACAGCAACAGAAGAAATCTAGGAGATGAAAATATGCAGAAGAATTCAAAACTCACTGTCCCAGTAAACAACCATTCGAGCTAATGCTGGTTACAAATGACACACAGGAGTATGATGTGAACAGTATTAGAGCTCTGATTCTTGAATCTGAACGATCTGTTTGCATCCCAGATACAACCTTGGTCAAAGATCTGGTACTAAACTTGGAATTGAACTCTATATAACACCAAATTAATCTGACAGCAGCTCTCCTCTAAATGAATCACATAATGATCTAAATGATGTCATAGTGACAAAGACCTGATCTAAATGCTTTTCTAGTTGTGCTATATGACAAGGCAAAGAGGAAGGACTGATACAAACAAAGCAGTAGAGCTGCTTCTTTTACTTCATGTTATTAGGGCTTGTAGCTGGGCAGTAAGTTACAGAGGAGCATAGAAGAAAGGTAACTATAGCTCCTACAAAGGGTTTTTTAAAAAGACTTTTTCATGCACACAAATTGCTTGTAAAGGAGGCAACAATGTTTTCATATGGGAAAAAAGCTCTTTGTAAACTACACAGACGAAAGTGTTGGTATGGGGTTTTTTACCCTCGAGTCAACATACAAGAAGCCATATTTTAGACTACAAAGAAAAAACATTTAATTAAGTCCTTAATATCTGAGAAACTCCAGGCTTTAGGCAGAATTATGTTGTCTGTCCAAGAGCTTATACATTTTTAACAAATGACATGAACAAAACATGGTATAAGTGCAGTCTCCCCATAAGACAGAGATAGATAACAATACAAAGCAAGCTCCTACACTGCCATTAGTTGCATACTAAATTGTACTGACACTGAACTTAAAATTTACCTAAATTATTTAAAGCATGTAAGTAAACATTAACATGAATTAGAAGACAGTAACAGAAATCAAAAAACCTCTAGATGCTGTACATAATCAAGCACATAATTTAAAAGATACTTCCAATTTACTAAGTTCAAATAGTTTGTGCATTTTCTCTAGTATACAACCATCTGCAAAAGAAAGAAACCAAACCAAGACTTTTTGAAACATCCTAAATAAGTATCTGCAGTTCTCCAATTCTACAAAGAAACTAATTAGTTTTACCATATGCACATTACTATCTTAAAATTAAGACCAAATGTTGTAGTGTTTTCAATGTACACATTTATCATTTAAAATTACATGTTTATTTTCCTACAGTGATTGCCTTGCTATGAGGGGAATATCCTAACTGGGATAATGCTGCATATAAAAATTTCCCATCAGAAATATATGTTGCTGAAATGGAAGGAGATGTTGTCATATCCAGTAACAATCATATTTAAAAATTTACATCTGAATGCCATTTAAAATGGGATCTCTTTAGAGGTGTGTTACTTACAGCTACATAGTTGTTGCAGCACAGTGGGACTGCTTTTATGATGCAGCAGTATGTAGGATTTCTTTTCCCAGTAATTCTACTATTTTGACATGGGGTGATAAAAGCGAATACACTGTGTTCACTTCTAAGCAATTTTGGCCTCCTTCCTTCCCTTGAATGTTTAAAAGTCATATATACAATAAACAGTTTTTATATTATGGACTACTTTGCCTTTCCACTAAATTGATTCTTCTCCTAAGGAATGAAAAACACTAAACTGCTATAAGTAAATCGATCTGTCCTTAATAGCCTTTATTAAACAGTGTACCCTTTTAAGCAGCCACACTTTCTGAAATGCCACATCAGTGCAACAAAAGCTGTCTTAAAAGCAAGAAAGCAAATATAACATTTTCTGAAATGGTAAGCTATTATGCACTACATGAACTCCAAAACAGGAAAAATACTTTTAGTGAAGAATGACTGACTTGTACCATAAATGAAATAAAAGAATTTAACCAGTATTTCACAATTAAGGTTTTTAACTTGCCTAATTTACAACAACTGGTAAACAACTTTCATTCAAGAAGTTTTACAGTTTCATCTTTAGTAACGATGTGCAAGAAAAGAACACCAAAACATCTTTACAGATGCAATAGAAACATTTTTTTTCTGCCAGATTCACAGTTTAATTCAACCAAATGGGTTACTGGAATCACTTTAAAGCACAAACTGATTGACTTTCAGTTAATGTAATTTTTTTCTTAGATTTATAGTCTAAGTATTTTTTCAGTTCATTCTCCGTCTTCTATAGATACACAAGGAAGCATGAGATCGGAATCAGAAGTTCACATTTTCATAATCTCCTCCTAACTGACATAACTAAACAATCAGTATCACTTCAAAATAATGTAGAAAGCATTCTATAACATTACCATGTAACAGGCAGTACCTTGTTCACAGCAGCATGTACTAGTACACTGTTTAAAACACGAGTGCATCCATGTTTGCACTTTGTTTATCCCCACTGACTGCTTTAAAAAGGTCCTAGTAAACACACAGAACCTGATTATAATTAATAACCCGTTTCTGATGCACAATAGCTGCTAGGTTTCTGAAGCATTTGAGTTCAGAACAAAGGCTAGTCTATATACGCATACTAACTACAAACATGAAATAAAAACATTTCTCACAATGGGAAAGTAATAATTAACCTGCACGAGCTGCTGTCCGATTCATTTTCTTCTTCACTTGCTCTATCATCTGTTTCTTGTCTGTCAAGCCAACGTGCACCTCCACAGTCTTCTGCTGAGAATTCAAATGTAGGGATTTCTGAGGCGGATGCCATTGGCCAAAGAGGTGAATTCTGGAAATCCTGTTGGCTGGACCTTCTGTAACCAACTGATGTTAAAGGCAAGTTACCCGAATCTAAAAACTTCCTGCCACCAGTTGTTACATTTTGTCCTCTGTTCCAGAAGTCTCCCTGATGGTTTTCAGTTGCAGAGTTCGGGGCTGATGCCTGATGACCAAACCACCTCCATCTGATTTTTAAAATCTGCTTCACGTCAAACTCTTTACGAGAACCAGACATTCTTAGTGAAAGCCAGCGATCGTCTAGGCAACAGGGTAAGAAGCAGCACACATAAAAGAAGATTTGTGCATCCAACCAAGACAAGAGAAACACATGCTCTGCCTGTCTGTGGCAAGCAGATTTTCTACAGAAGGAGGGGAAAAAGCATTGCACTCACACAAAAAAGGCTTCTTTAACAGTATGTCATTTGAATACAAACAAAAGGCAACAGACAGTGAAAAACGCTGACATAAAATAGGAGGTGAAACAATCACCTCCATCAGGAAAAATGCTAATCACTTTACCCTAAAAGCTCCGAGGCTGTTTCTGTTGCTGCCTCTGACCATTAGGTTTCAAAACCACTAAACAATATTCATTAAAGCACTTTCAAGAGCTAAATACCACCCCCTTTTCTTAAACCACAAATGACAGCAAACTGCAATTTCTATACTGCATCTTACAATCTGTTTCTTATTCTGTTAACTCTTGCTACTACAGAGGGGGGAAAAGTGCAATAATCAAATTTAATTCCTTCTACACTGAGAAAAAATAAATTTGCAGAGAAGAATCAAAACCAACTCAAAGATAACTGGTTATGCTGGGGAGAAACTGAACTGTAAATAATTCTTTTTCCCATTACAGGACATGAACTAACTTAAAAAGGACAAGTACAGCCTCGGAAGGCTCAAGGGACTAGTAGTGGAGGCGATAAAGCCTTTCATCTTGATGTGCTTTGATTCAAATCTAGGTCTGCAGTAACCAAAAATTTCTATGTGAAATGAGCTAATGGTTTCCATTCACTTATACATCAGAAAAACAGAAAGCAAGAAAAAGCCAATCACTGCAAGACACCAGACAAACCCCCTGCAAAATAAACAACCTAAGATGACTGCTCAAAAGGCTTATTTCTAATAATATACTATCAGCTGTTCCACATCACGTTACAAGTACTGTGATGGAACAGTGAAAAAGAGAGATGCATACTTTTGAGACAGAATTCCCTCTAGGACTGGTAATTTATGCAACATCTTAAAACATCATTCCTAACATCTTAAGATGTTAGAAATGTTAGGAATAGCCATTCATAGGAATGGCCTAGAAAGCCTAAAGCACAAAATGCACAATGACCAATTTACAGTTCTCATAAAAACCAGCCTATTTCCTCTCTGCCACAAGAAGCTAGTTAGGTATAAAATGCTGAGATTCATTTCAGTCACATACAAATTGTAATAACAATTTTAGAACAAAAAAGAGGCACTGGATTTCATCAGTCCTTGATATAGAGATTTATGTTTTCAAACTTTACAACTCAGTTAGTCTGTTCAACTCTCCGGGATACATACACAACAAACTTACAAGTGCTTCTTTATTACCTTACAGTTTTCATCAAAAGTGAGAGCCACTCTCTCTCAGATTAACATGATGAACCCCAAAATGTGACATCTTGTAATGAGGATACCTGCAGTATTATCTGAAGCAGGCAGAGTCCACATGAAAACTTAAGCAGCGCCAAATTTTACCATTGAAAACCCAAAGACTGTTTAAAACTCAGTGCCAGGAGAATATCATTCTATTTTCTGAGGAAACACAATGCTGTAAGTGCTAGTTTTAACCTGGAAAGCTCACCTGTCACTGCCCAGAGCACAGTTATTGATCTAAGTGCTTCTCACAAAGGCTAGCAAAAGCTCATTTCTACAGGAACTGCATTCCAGCTGTTTCCACAGAGATGCATTTCAGAGCGTGCACCTTGCTGGCATCCTGGCTTACCAGAAGCCAAATACTGAGACCTTTGCAGCATAGCCAGAAAACAGCTGAAGATACATCGGATGCAAGATGATTAAGTAGGTAAATCTATAAAGCTCTTACCATCTTTCCTGAGGATTTTAAATTAAACACAGAAAGATAGGGGAATACTTAAGAAAGGATTAATGTTTTAAGATATTAGCATGAAAATTGTATGGCTGTTTAACCAAAATGATATGACATGCAGACCCCACTAATCTGGTACAAATATTATTAAACACTTAACTGTAGTGTTCAAATACCATAATTTGCGTAACTGCAAGTTGAGTGAAACTGGAGTAGCTTAAGAAGTAAAACCAAAATGGCATCTTTTTATTTATCTTCTCCTGTTTTGTATTGGTGCTGGGTGCTCATCGAAGGTGAAGAAATAGGACAAGCAACTGGTATATTTGTTAACATTCATCAAACCAGCAATATTTTAATTATCCAGCCAACTATAAAAAGTAAGCTTTAAATACCTTTATTTCTGCTGGTATGGTAAATCCATTATACATAAGGAGTGACCTGGATTCTCATTCTTGTGTAACAGACTCATTTAAAATTCAAGCTGTCCCAGTACAAGTCTACTAAGACAGTGGCAGATTTGCGATTCTAGTGCTTTTTCAGCACTTTCCATTGATTTACTGGCAAAAACAGCCCAATTACTGCTTTTCTTTGGCTGTGGAGCTATGGCCTCAAACAGAGATCAGAAAATAAAATGTGCTGTAGTTTTAACAGACCAAACCAAAAAACTGTTTTCTATTCTCTTTCATTTTTCTAGATTAAAGAAACTCTTGTTCTTCTACACACTCTCAAAATTACAGTTCTAAGACTGACAGCATAAATATCTAAAATATTTCTCTGTTTCATAGGAATATTTGTATTGTAGATGACAAGATAAGACAAGTGACAGTTAATTCTTCAATTTAAACTGACAGTATTCCTCAGAAATAATTGAGGGCCTCTTGTTCTGGACAATCTTTGTTACTATGAATAATGTGATATCTTTTATCAGATCTCCAGCCAGGAGTTACCAGACTTTTGAGGAGATCTCAAATTCAAAATGGACTGTTTGGACTTCCACTGACTATGATCACCCAGACTTCATCGTTGACGTCTCATCTGGTGATTGGTGCTCACAAATCCAAATGCCCATCCTCTATGGCCTCCCATCACACATCCTACCAAAGCACTAACGCATTTCTGAGAAAACTGCTAAAACCCATCCTAGTCAAGACTTGGCAAGGATTTGAAATATTTTTTCATCTACTAAGGCAAAAGTTTGCATTTATTGAGAAATCAACAGTGATTATATCCATTTTTTCTGACCTTGGGGACTTGCAGTTTCTATTTTGTGGTGAATCAAAATAACATTTCAAATACAAGTACACTGTCACCTTTGAGAACATAATTCAGTTTGTATTAACAAGGTCGTGTAAGCTTACTGTGAAACAAATTTTGAGAACTCTGATTTTTAATTGAACAGATTGATATTCCTTCAAGTGGAACACCTGAACATTTAAGCACATAATTTCTCTCCTGTGAAGAGCTTCACAAAGCTATAAATCCCTGCAATTAGCAGGGGAGGACAGTTTCCCAGATTCTGGCCTGTAAACAAAAAGAAACATCTAAATAAATACTGTTAAATCTGAAACTGTGTAAATAGGTAACACCAGGGACATAGCAAGACAGCTTTAGAAATTGCCTTTTTCAAAATTTTCAGACATTTATCTAGACAGATATAAAAACCATTTTTTTTTACTAATAAAAAATTTACTCCACTGATATTCTCTGATATTATACACATTTATTCATACAAGTATTAAAGAAAGATTGCAATCCAGCATAACTAGATAAATTTAAACAATTTTAGTCTCAAGTCACTTCTACTCCATATTTTGAGGGAAGGTGTACTTCATATTTAGAGTGTATCACTAGGAAATATGGACATATTACTTAAATAGTAAGACCTAGTGATTTTGTTGATTGTGATTTTTCCTTTTGCTTGCCAAAGGAAATAAACCAAGTTTTCAAATAAACAAACATGTATATGGAATATTTTATTGAGGCACTTTTAAGATTTAAATTTCAACACTACTTTTCATGGTAACATTTTTTCTGTTCCTACTACTACTATTATAATTTGGGTCCAAAACCTTTCATCACTCAACTTCAAGGCAATTCACATATAATATGTTCAAGGTATTTAGTGTGTCAAACGAATTTTTAAAGAGGTCATAAAAGCTCACCTAGTCCGGAGAATATATTAATGATCCTTTTAAGTGCCAATTAAGAATGTAAATGTCAAAATAATTACAGAAAGTCTTTATTGTGACTGCAAGAGTTGTTTTTTGAAAAAATGCTTAACAAAAGCATTAAATATAAAAAGACAAGTTTTAGACATAAGTAGATTCACTAGGATACGAAAAAGCAGTATTGTCAATTTAGAGATCCTAGATGTGTATTTGAAAACATAACAAAGGTTCACTGACCATAGATTTTCATCAATTGATCAAATACATACTTACAGCATTAAAAGGCATTCAAAATTTAACACTTTTTAAAATGGGATTTCTGAACTTTAAAATATTAATTTGAGGCATTAAAATAACTGCTCAAAGAAAACTGCTATAGATGAACTTCAAACTGCAATTCTGCTTATAACTATGCTTATGTTAGAAGAAGTGTTATATATCTAATTTCTTTTTCCTTCCCTATTCCTGTGTTCCAGACCCAAAGTTACAGAAACAGCTCAACAAAGACTTCAGGAAGATTGCTATATTAATGCTTCATGATTCTATAAAACAATAATCACTTTCTGTCCCAGAGTTTTATATAAATGCAAACACTTCTGGTTCATTGTTATGTGAAAAGATCACAGTTCATTCAGGAGAAAGAGAGGAAAATGTCCCACAGCTACTGACTTCATGTACTTAAATGCATTGTTCTGACTGGCAGAAATGAGCTGTAGCCAAACTAGTGGTACTTCATCGCAACTTTCTGCCACTTTGCATTGTACATTTCCCTCAAAAAACAAGGGAGCAGTCAGCTTAACAACAGCATGAAAAGACCTGTACAGAACAACAGCCTGGCTTGCTGTTTATTTTATTCAGCAAAGGGTGGGGTGGGGAACAAGAGAGATTTCCACATGTAATACAAGACTATACTGTTAGATGCAAGCTCAAATATCAAACTGGTTCATACACAACAGAAGTTGTGGTTCAAGACATTTGTATTTCTTTAAGATTAAAACATTAACATTGCTTTATTCAATTAATACTGAAACATCATCAGGGACTGCACCATCTACAAGTAGAGCCATAGTGTAGAGCTATTCCTCAGTAAACAGCACAGTAAGCTTATTCACTCTCAAAAAATGAGCACTCCAATTCATCAGGTCAGATGC